AGGCAAAGATATGTTTAAAATAATAACTCCTCAGATTTATTTTTACACCTGAAATGTGCTGCTTAAACTGTTTGAATCACTAGTTAAAACAGGGGTAGCTCGGTGTAACACAGTTCACCTCCTCTGACTCAGACTGAAGTCTAGCTACTATTTTTTGGCTACCTTTATATAGGGTGTCTGTGTTTGTCATCACTCCTCTTCGTTTTCTAATGTCAAGATGAATCATTTTAGGAATGTTTGTAGCAGTTTTGCATGAAACCAGACAAGCTACATCTTATTGAGGTTTTGAAGGTTGTAGGTTTTTTTTCAGTTGATTGACAAAATTGAAGAACTTATTTATTTATTTTTCTCTGAGGAGGAACACTCTGGCTGTGTTTAGCTCACTTTCCTAGGAATGAACTTCATTATTTTCTTACTAGTTTATTGTTGACTTTCTCTCTCCCTGCACACTGAAGTCTGAAAAGAGTATGTAGGAGATGTATTTTAATAGTAGTATTCTTGCCATTTTTAGTAGTTTTTTTAAAAAAAGGCAAAAAAGGCAATAACTAGTAGGTTGGAATAGAGCACTGTTTCCCTTGAGACTTCCAAATTTCATGTGTTATACCTCCCGTGGCAATACCCATTTACAAAGGGTCCTGTTTCTTGTTCTAGTGAAGATTCTTACTTGGGAATAGATACCAGTGATGTTTCTGTATGAGATTAAATGTCTTGGGAAATCTAAACATAGATATTGACAATATATTTTCATTTGCTGTATGCTGGGCTCTTTTATGCACATATTTCTCCATTAATTCCAGGAGTTTAAAGTAGATGTAAAATGTTACCACTCTGATCTAATAGCAAAGAGTTTGTTCGCTTTGTATTCATATAAGAACAAGACCTGCAAGAGAATCTTGTCCATGGTCCTAAAATTGATAAAAATACATTTCAAATCTGCATTCTTCTAGATTTGAACTGAATTAATAAACTAGGTAATTAATCTTCTGAATTAAATTTAGATTAGTTAAATCTAAGATTATTATCCATATTTTTTCTTAATCAACAATCACCTAAGCAACACAAGAATAGAATTATAAGTGCTGGTGACTCTAATTCATTTGTTAAGTTTATAAGCATAGCCCTATGTGAGATTTTGTATTTCTGTTCTAGTTTGCTTGTAAATAAAAGTGATAAAAGCAAGTGTAGGGATTTTTTTTCCCATCAAAAGATACAGAATAATCATCATTCAGTAGATTTTGGTCATATACAAAATATTATCCTCATTGCTTTGAATGTGAAATGATATAGAAAAAAAAAGTTAAAATAATTGTTCTAAACCATTTCTTTTCAGTAACAGCTCTTGGGAAAATCAACCAACTTTCAAATGATAAAAACATAGTTGGGTTTTTTCGGGGGCTTCTGCACCCATTATTAAATTTGACAGAATTCCCTTGCTATTTGAGTGTTTGGGCGAGGTTTTTTTGGGGGGTGGCCAAATGCCAGCAAATAACCTATTTAATATAGAGGTTACTACCTGTAATATCTTTCACATTTTTAAAGCTGTAGACAGCTTAAGGTTAGAAGTAGATTAACATAGCTTCACATGATTGTACCTATCTGCCACAGTTAATTTGTGCACTGTTGCATTTTAATCATAAAGCATGTCAAATGAAGTTCATTTTTAGCTCTTCAGATGTAGAAAGAGCTACAGAATTTCATTCAATAATGTTCAACGCTCTTTCTTGTTACAAACTTTTCAAGTTAATGATTTGCCAGTTTAGCAACCATTGTTTATTCAAAAGAAGAAAAAAAAATAAGCTAGAAAATAAATTGCTTTATTTAAAGATCGGCAAATCTTAACAATTTCTTGTGGGGCATTGTGCTATGAACTAAGAAAAAAAAATGATGGGCAGCGTGCAACTCTTGCCGCAGTGCATTTAGTAGGCTGGTTGGATTATTTCTTAGGGTTCCCAGAGTAAAAGCATCAGGGGGACATCCGAGGACCATTTGCCACAACACATCTTAAAAACAATTTTATTGTTTTTGTTCACAGCTGCAGAGAGTACATCATGCATTGCTGAGGCCACTTTGACTTTATTTGGCTATAGCTCATGTGCTTATTCTCTTGATTTCCAATTCAAGAAGGTACTTCTCTTTGTGCTTTGCTTAAACTTTCTGGTAGAGAAACATCTGCCAGCTTAAACATGTATGAGCTGACCAGAATAATTATCTTGAATCAGTGCTTAGCTGTGCAGTGTTTTAAAGATGAGTTATGGCAAATTATTAGTAACTGCTGCTCGGAGACTTAGATATGTAAAATGGAGTTGAGCATAGCAATTCTCAAGGCTTTTGATGTCGCCTATTGTAATATCTAGCAAGAGGAATTGGTGAAGTATGAGTGAGGTAAGAGGACGATGTTATCCAGGGACTATACTATCCAGGGACCTGTCAAGCTGAGTTTTCAATATTCCCAGCAAGCCAACACTTCTCTGAGCAACCTATTCCAATATTTAATGACTCTTATGTTGAAAAATATTATTTTATGCATTCACATGCACACAGACTATATTACATATATACATTATATTATATACATTAATTATACACATTAAATATATAGATGTGTGCACATGTATGCATAAAATATGACATATATATGTATGCGTGTGTGTGTGTATTAAGGTTCAACTTGTGCCCCTTGCTTCTTTTCCTGTAATCATGGATGTGTATGCATAAAATATGACATGTATGCATGTGTGTGTGTGTATTAAGGTTCAGCTTGTGCGCCTTGCTTCTTTTCCTGTAATCATGGATCTCTGTGAAGAGAGTACCTCCCTGCTCTCTATAGCTCCTTTTTAAGCTTTTTAAGACAGTGGTTAGATCCTTCCTAACCTCCAAATACATTCCCTCATTTTTTTTATGTGAGGTTCATACCCTCAAATCATTTCTGTGCCTCTCTGATGGAGCCACTCCAATTTTTCTCCGTCTCTCTTGAACTGGGGAGATTTCACTCCATATAGCCTATACAATTGGTTTGTTTTTTCTGGTAAGATTTAGTAGCACAATAACTTTTTTTTTTTTCCAGAACTCTCTGAGGAATTCCCATATACTGTTATGAGTATCAGAGTAGGCCTCCTGAAGTCTAAAGAGAAATAAATCTCTTTTTTATTGAATAATTTTTCAAAGTTGTGTAGAATGGAGTTAGTCACAAGAGCAATGTAAAAGATAATAGGATTGAACCTCTTCTGGCTAGAGTCAAGAGTTAATTCTGCCATTAACTTTAAAGGAAGTAGGGAATGACAGAAGACAATTTTGTACATGTGCTGACCTGGGACGTGGCATAGTAGGGCTGTGAAAATCATTCAATCTGCTATGAAGCACAGAAAAAGCTAGTACAGACCAGACTGAAAAATAAACTCTGCTAAAGGTTGTTTAGAGTTAGAGCCTTGCTGGGAGAACAGATATTTGTGTGGCTAGTGTGCTTCTTTCTAATTGAGCGACTGCATGTCTAATTTTCTATGGAGAATTGTCTTGATATTTTGGGGAGATGTGATAGTGCAAACACAAATCTGTGTATCTACATTGATATGTTTTTTCTTTTCCTTTTTTTAAGGCTAAAACTTGGTGAAATGATTCCATCTCTATAGTTCTTTACTACATGTTTTTTATAAGAAAACTTGAAAAGACACACACCTCTGTGTAATTAATAATCAATACTCTTAACAAAGCAAGAATGATCTTAACCTTTCAGGAAAATGAAACAACTATCAATTGCACTCCCTGTTCTGGATTTGACAAGACGTATACGATATAAGCCTTTTACCTGTGTCTTTGCTGCTAAATAAGGAGGAATAGGCGCTGAACTGCAGCACTGAGACCTGTGGTATCCCAGTGCTCTTGAGATTGCTCTTGAGAGTGCTGGTGAGCATGGTCCAAAACAGAGCCAAGAAGCGGTCTCACAAACGGTGTGGAAAATCCAGGGTTTGCTCTTTGGATCCCTTTTATTTTCAAAATAGATGTACTTCTGAATTTATGCTCTCTGTTCAAGATCATTATCTGTCTGTAGCGGCAGACAAAAAATAAGAGGGAAGTGTCATTTGTTGAGTGTTGGATTCATGCCAGAACTTGCACCAATCATTAACAAGTTTTAAGAAATAGGTCAGAACATGGTAGCAATATCTTTCAACAAAAATCGATGGTAATATTTCTTTACGGAAAGAAGTGTACAATCTTTTCTTGGAGAATAACTGTGTGTCTTGTTTATGTGTGAAATCTTTCAGCATATCTGCACAAGACAGTGAGTTTCAAATCCCTCTTAAACTAACAAGGAACAGTACTCAGAGAGCCAGCTCCTTAGACCTTAGACCTGACTTGATTGGAGGTTTTTAGATACCTTGGTGTGAATAAACTCTAAGTGTCATAATCCTTTGTGTTGACAGTCACAAGTAGGTAGCCTCAAGATGAGGATGCAAGTGCAGAGTGGCAGAATCATGGCTACAGTGTGATTTTTATGATGTGTCATGCAATAGGATCTTTTTCCTTTGAATAGGCTAAGCTTTTGCGAAGCACAGAAAAAATCTGTCTTATCTAAGGAAAAACAACAAAAAAACAGCAGTTGTATAACAATGATGACCTTCAATAAGGAAAAATATTTCCTTATTTTTTTGATTTAGGGGTGATATGGCAGCTCCTGATTTTGAATGATAAGGGTCAATAAAAGAGGGGATATTTCTGTGCTACTATGATCTTTAGTCATCATTATTGCTGTATAATGCTTAGTTAAGTGGTTGTTTCAAATCACGCTCTCAGAAAACCTCATCCCATTAAGTTCTATTGAGACTTAAGAGCTGAGACTAAACATGTCCTAGGCTTCCCAAACTGTACTGATGCTGGAAATGATTTAAAAATAAAGGGTGTAGCTGCTTCTGAGATCCTCAGCAGTATGCAAAAGAGTCTATCTTAACAATTGTATTTTGAATACATTTTGTTTTCTTGTTCTTCAGAAATGATCTCTAATATATTTAATATTTTAGTGCCCTACAGATACCAAAGCAACGTTTGGGGTCCATCTTAAAGTGGTAGGAGACTGGACAGGTATGTAGAAAAACAATTGTTTTTTTAGAGACAAATACTTTTATTTGAATTATTATTAGTTTCTGGCTTCAGCTTGATTCTACCTTGATTATGACATATTTTCATTAGAGATCATTCATGCTTGTTTGCTCAAAGTTGTTCGTATTTTTGATGCAACCCTTGCTTTATTCAGCAATGTATTTTTTCAGATAACCCATTTCCTCACTACTAACAGATGTTCTGATTGCAATTTAATAATTTGCAATGTTTTTCAGTTTCTGCCTATTTTTCTTATTTTTAGTACCCTGCTGCCTCTGTGCAAGGCATAGAGACTGCAGAAATGCTGAAATGTGCAGCTCTCAGATAAGGGGATTGTAATGTCTGTAATTTGGGTGGCTGCCAGGTTAATTAACTGCCATGGTATACAGAGATTACAGGTTGCTTTCATGTTCTTCCATGCTCTTCTATTGCTCTCTGAATGTCCTCCAGATCAAGGATGTAAACCAGGATTCCCCACAGAGCAGAAGGGTAATTTGCTGTTCAGTGTGACAGTGGCACACTCGAGTGCTAGTTGTCATTATTCCTTGATGGCTGACTTTCTTCCTGCTTAGCATAGCATTTCCTTTTAAAGAAGATAAATAAAGATAAATACATAATACCATCTTGTTCATTTTTTGTGAAGAAATGTTTTCCATATTAATTTGTACTCATTCATATATTTGTGGAACTGAGTCGAATTAGCTTGTCACCCAATAAGGGATTAGACAAATTCAGGGAGATTAAGTCTATCAAAGTCTATTCAACTTGTTGGTCCAGCTGCATACTTGGCAATAGGAGTCTCTGAACCTTTAATAAGCAAAGCTTGGGAGAATAATGTCACATGCAAGAATCCTATATAATCATCCTGATTTTAGGCTTTTTTTTCTTTTTTTTTCTTTCCTTTTCTTTTTTTTTTTTCCTCAAAGTATAGGATATTGGCCAAAGAGAAACTGGATATGGGTCTAATTAGCCTTTGGTGGGAGCCATTATGGTGGTTGTTATGTTATTATCCACCTTCCCTGCCTGGAAAAGGATGCTACTGAGAGAAATTGGCTGGAGAAGTGAGTTTTCCAAAAGAAATAGCATCTCTGAAGTATGAAGTTTTTGTGACAGCCTCTATGGTGTGAATTGGACCCCTATTAGTATTCAAATGTACTTCTCCCAGCTCAGTATTTGCTTCTTCAGTTTAGAAGCAAGTCTGCCGATGCAGGGCTTTGTGAAATTCAGGACACTGTTACATTGTAGAGACCATGCATTGAATTAGTTTTACTAAACAGGAATATCTGTTACTGGGTTGAATGTGCTTCAGGGAATGGAGTTGCTTACCCAGCCCTCTGCTCTGCTATTCTGTGTCTGTACCAGGGAGCCCTGTTTTCGCTCATCCCCTGGACACCATGACCGTCAATAGTCCCTAATCCACTGACTGCTAAAGGGTGATACTGAAGAAGGATTATTGTATTTGCCATGTTGCTTATAATCTTTCCTAAGCATGTGCTAATGGCTGCTTCTGGAGACAGGATATTGGGATGGAGTAGTTTTTATGCAATATAATGTCATTTGAGCTCTTCTCCAAAGATATCTTTCAGCCTTTATCCTATTTATTCTGGTCTTCTTTTGCATCACATTTTCACATTCCTGACAGTTTATACCTGACACCAAAGATAGTTAACAATTTATTTCAGAGAGCTCAGTTAAAAGCCCAAATGAAAGGGATGTGAGCCCAGGTGGAGGGTGATGCAGAGACGTTGAAAAATGCAGCAAAGATCTGGTCAGTTGAGAGTCATTTCTCCTCTCCCTGGCTTCTGCTTTGTGCATCCGTGAGATGGATTGAAAGAAAAATGTCCTGCCTTTGGCTCTAAGGACTTGAGGGAGGATACACTCCTTGCCACTGGTGGCAAAGCAATTCTGCAAGTTATGTTTCACGTCAAGTCTCTGACACCGAGTGTTATGTTTTGAGAATTGAATAAGATACCTTACGGCCTTAGTAACTTTGTTTTGTAGGTTGGGAAAGCAACTGCATGTCAATAAGGAAGATAGAAGATGTAATAGAGCTGTCAGCTCCTGACGTGAAGGTGCTGTTGCCAGGATGCCATTTATTGCCCCCCTCCCTGTGCATATAGTTTTATATATCCAGCAGTAGCAAGAAATAGGTTTAGAACAAGTTATCAAGAACTTCAGAAGTAAGTGTTAGCAAGGGGACAGATCAGAGCTGTGAGATCCATAGATTAACTAATAATGTAATCTTTCTAATTGACCTAATCCTTTTTTTATTGACATCCATTTTGTTCTGCTTCTCTCCTATCTCCTCAGTAACCCTGTTCTCCTTCCTTTTTGGAAAAATTGTTGACTGAATATTTACAAAAAAGAGATTTTTTGGAGGCTTTCTTTTTCATTTACTGTCTAGTTTGTCTTCAGTGTTGTCAGTGATCAGCCTCTGCTGCCTCCATCCTCACTGCCACCTCCAGCACCACCGCTCTTTGGTTTTAAAGCTGCCATTTTGGCTGGTGTCTCCAGGGAGAAATAGAGGCCGCAGGGCATCCCTCATGTGTCCAGCCACAGTGAAGAAAACACAGCAGTGTGTCAAAACCAGGCGTCTCATCCTGCTCTTACGCCCCTTAATGCTGCTGGAGACATGGGCAAGAATTGGCCACTAGCATGCTGGTTAGTGAAGGGACCCTGAAGCTTTGTTTGCTAACCTCATAAAATTTGAGACAATGTAATGGCAAGAGGTGCAAATTCATGTGGGAAATCCACGTAAATCCAGGTAGGCCGTGTAGCTCGTAAGTACCAGCCTGCATTAATGTGGTGACTACTGGGCATCACCAGAAAGCACCTGCCTCTGCTTAATCCTTTGTGTTGGAGCTGAGGAGAAACATGATCAGGAGGTCCTTTAGGTAGCAACTACCTTATTCTGTGAACTAAAACCTGAGGCAGCGAAGATTGGGCATCCCAAAAGTATTATTTTTAAACTTCGATCATTTTTAAGCCAGTTGTTTGAGATTTTGGAGGCTGACTAAGGATTCTTTTGAATACTCACCAGAAGAAAATAAATATGGTTATTAAGTGGCTCTGAAGGAGACATGATCTAAAATTTCTGGGGTTGGCATGATTTGTTGCATTGGTTGAGAGTACCCGCATGACCTTGATAAGCCCTTGCAACTCCTTGTACAGAGATGGTCTGAAGCAACTCAGAACTTGCTGCTCATTGCTGCATTTAGCTATAATTTATCAGCAAGTAAAGGAGTAGCAAAGAAACAATCTTTCATTTCCAGTAACCTAAGGGTTAGTTTTAGAGATATTGAAGTAGTGGATCATTCAGTCAGTATCAACTGTGTTGGTAGCAGATCTTGAGTCAGGCTGGAGAAATGTGTGAAGCATAAGATGACAAAGAATAATGTGACTACAGAGTTCGCCTGCAGGATGTTACAAGGATGTCCCAGGACCCCTATAATTGCTACTGAGTTTCTATAAAAATATCTAGTCACTCAAGATGTGTTTGATTTGGGCCTGTTTCTCTCTGTGGTAGTGTGCATTTTGTTGTGTTTAGTCATTAAATGGGATTCTTGACAGGTTATAAAGGCATTAATAATATGGTACTGTGGGTTGTTCTAGAAAAGTGCGGTTTAGCAGTCAGAAAACACAGATAGATAGAAGAAATGTTATTTTCCCTGTTAGATTTAATGTCTTCCAGTTCTCATACTGTCAGTGAATCCCACTTACCCTTTTGAGGAAGACATAGGAATTGAGTGCTAAAAAACTTTATTTCTGTTTCTTTTTATATAATTTAATATTAGAAGTAAAATTGATGCTGTCACATTACTGAGAGGTTAAAAAGGCTTAACAATATAATTAGCCAAAGTGTGCCATAAGGAGTATTGGCTTTATTCTTCAGAACCATTAATGTTCATTAAGGTTTTATTAATGACTGTAAACAAGCTCATTAAAAGATGGGATTAAGAAAATGGAGAAAAATGAGGAGAACAGATTTAGCTGAGTGACTTGATGCTGAAAGACCCTTTCCTCTGATTAAGGAATTAATGATGAAAGTGAGTTTACACATACTATTTTTTGGCTCCCAACCTAGATTGCTTTATATTAGTTGAACTCCAGCTGACTTATTACCAAACACAGTATAACTTGAGTCAATTCTCATTTGAACAGTTCATGAGTTTTACCTTCACAGGGAAAGAATCAAGATAGTTAAGCCAAAATTTGCCTTGAAGGAAAGTTTCTCCTACTCCTTCTTTCTTCAGACATTTTGTTATTTAGAACCTTCCATCTTATTGCATATCTCAAGCTTTATAATGTGTAAGCAGAGTATGGCATAGATGCATTATGTAATTTTTTTTTTCCTTCATTACAACACACACAGGAGGTGTGGATCTTGCTCTTGTTAAGACACTGAGCCAGGAATGTAAAATTGCAAGATTTGTTGCCTCACTTCAGATGTTCACTGTAACCTTATACATTATAGGAACAAAAACCCGAATCATGTTAGTGTGTAGGACACAAATAATGTTTAAAGTCTGGCTGGACTTCGTACTTCCCTTGTGTGTGCACCTTTAAAAATCTCACGTGCTTAATGGTGTCTAGGGAAATATGAAAGTTCACTTCAAGATGCTATTTCCTCATGCATGACATTCCCTAGGAGCAATAGTGCACTCTGCTAGATGCCATTCAAGTTTTACTGAAGAGCCCCTATCAAAATAACTTGTTTTGTCCAGTTCATTGAGAAAAATGCCTCAGGGAAAGAAGAAAAATGTGGACAATTTTTAGACCTGCAATTATGACATCATTTGCTGAAGTATTTTAAAAGTAAATTTTAAAAGTTTCTTTTGGGGACTCTCTTCAAATAGTTCGTAAAAGTTCTGTATTTAATTAGGAAAGTTGTATTTCAAATAGGGAACATTAAAAAGATAGTAATAGCTACTATAGCAACTTTTGATATTTAAATCTTTATGATCAGAAGGGGCAGTTATCTC